GCTCAGTAAACAAATATATTATATTTTTAAAATATTCAACTCTCAAAAAATTCATCTATTTTATCTACTTTTTCAGCAAGAATGGTTTTTATGTGGATAGTTGTATAACACTTAAAGCCGATCTAAATGAAGACCACCGAAAAATTGCATCAATATTATAAATTTTCGCAAGAATACAGCATATGGTTTTGGAAATCATTTTCCATCATTTTCCATCTGTTCGCACAACTTAAAAAATCGTCACTACAATTAGAGAATTAAATTACGAATTAAATTTTAATTTCTTGATATTTACGTAAAATAAATCTTATATCAGCTAATACAATTATTGTACAATTAAATTACATTCCTCTGTGTGCAATGCATTTAGTGATCGGATTGAACTTGTGTTGTTTGCATTTTCATGCTGTTTAGCTTTATGTGTACTTTGTGTTGACTAATAACTTTTCCTGCGCTCTTTCGTTCACATTTTCTACGTTCACTAAGCCCAACGAAATGCTCATAGGTCTATTAGTAAGACAGAGTCACCTTGCATTTTTTAGATCTCTTTTTTAAAGTGTGTTTTTACACCAACCCTACCCTATTTGCCGCAGTTCTTACACATGGACATGAGCGTAACATTTATATATGTGACATCAACATTTATTTTTTTAGCTCCTTGAGTAGTATAGAATTTCAATTAGTGATATACATTATAAAACCAGAAAATTATATAATTTATTATCGAGTATGTATATGCTAAAAGTATAAGTATGTACCTTGTGATCAAAAAGGAACCAGAATTTTAATTTTTAAAATTCCAGCGCTTATCCAATCGGTAAATTGGAGACCAAATTTTGAGATCATAGAGGCCATAAGGTAAAAATCGCCACACGAAAATTTTTCGACTTTTTGTATAGACGCCAAACAAAAACTAATCGTATAATATGCGTTAAACTTTGACAGAATGTGTAAAATAGTGTTGCCAGCGTGAAAATAAAAAATTTTACCGATTGGATAAGCTCGAGAATTCAAAAATAGGCCTCTCGTTCTTTTTTGATGAGAAGATATATACTATTAATGGGATTATATACCATTATATAAAGAATATAGATATATGTATATAGATATAAATATATACATATATAGATATATATAGATAACAAGTATAGATAACAGATACAGTTAACAGATAAGGACAACAGATATAGATAACAGATAGAGATAACACATATAAATAACAGTTGTATATAGATATGTAAGAAATTTTTTTAATATTGCTTTAGACAAATGAAGTCGGAGATCAAGAAATAAAGTCCATTTCATAATAAAAAAACATTGACCAACAAATTATATAGTAAAATATAGATAAATCTGGTTTTGTTATATGTTTTGTTATATCATCATTGTCCTTCTATACTGAAATTCTATATAAATACTGGATATTTGCTATAGTTAATTAAACAAAAAAAAATAAATAAATGAAAATGTCTTGAAATTTATTTAGAAATATATATATATATTTACATTATACAATCATACTGAATTAAATATTTATAGTATTGTTTATATTGATTTTAAATTAGAGTGTATCATTTAGTATTTATGACATTATGAAATAAATCAATTGGTAAATTATTGTGTTATCTTTAACATATTTTATGAAATGTGCTACAGAAAATGTGTGTAAAAACTAAAATTTTTAAACTACAATCTTTTGTTCACTTTAAGCTCATAGATAAAAATCTAATCTATGGCTGACTAATTTACAAACTCATCGAAAGCATATTCGTACATATGCATTGGGTTTCGTAAATTTGATCTAAATTATAGCCACACTTACTGATACGCCCAAACTCATGCGTATTACTTAATAGCATATATTTTTTAAATTTTTATATATTTGTATATTTGTATATATTTGTATATATGTATATATGTGTAAATAAGCACATATAATTTTTTTGTTCTGTACGTTTTGTGTGAAATATCAAACTTGTGAGTCATAAACAAACAATTTAATTTACAAAATTTTTTACTCAAGTATGTGTAAATGTTTGACTCGTGTTCTGTTCCACTTTTTATATCGGCGGGGCAGCTTTATTCGCCGCATTGTATCTACACACAAACTGACATACATACGAGCATACGAAAACTTATTGTATTGCATGTTGAGTTAGCATATCTAATATTGATACGAGCGAGTACTGAATATAATTGTTAAGTACAAAATAACAAGAAATCGTTAATCGCACAAGTGACAAAAACAACCTTAAAAACTTTAAACTTTAATGTTTTTAATGTTTAGAAATCATATAATTTTGTACTTCAAACATGAAATTTTAGCATGACTACAATAAAATTTGTTTTGGAAGTGTTGTCCCCCAGAATATGTCCCATGTCCCCCAGAGTACAACACTCGTAGTTTTAAAGATTTAAACACTTAGCACATATGCATGATTAGGTAGGTAGGTATGTATGTATACTTTTTGCAATGGAATGTTAATGTAGATATTGTATACAAAAAAAAAAAACTTAGCAAAATAATTTTGTACACTTAATTATTATATTTGTCATCGCTAAGTTCCTCACTGTTGAGTAAACAATGTGATAAAATAATAAATCAGTACCAGTAACACGAATTTCATAAACAAAGCTTAACGTAAGGCCAAACCTAGACAGACAGACAGACAGACAGATATTAAATTTAACAAGCAGATTAACCAAAAATATTTGTTTGTATAGAAAAGCACATAAAAACACAAAGAAAGAAAGACAGACAGACAGACAGACGACGTATTCGTAAATGGACACACATTAAAATTATATTCCACAAATAATTGTAATATATTTACAAGTGTGGAAATAACTAGTGTACGAGGGATGTTTGAAAAATTAGTTCAAAGTTTTATTTGCTGCTTTATAATACATATGTTTAGATAATGAACACTTAATAAGTGCAGGTGTTCATTATTAACTAAAAATGATTGTGTTTCGTTATAATAATAAAACACATTGAATTATGTTTTATATTGAAAATAAAAATATTTTATTTATTTTATATAAGGATACCAATTGAGGTCATTCTATAAGTTTGTTTCTTTAATGCATATTCTCTAGCAATTGCTATAGATCATACTCGTTGCCAACTAAGAAAAAGACACAGATTTTGTTTCAAACAGATTTTTTGTAACTATTCAGACTTATCAGATCCAACTTAATTTTTTTTGTATTTTGTGCGGAGTCGTCTCAATAGTGGTATGCCCGGTTTATACGGACTAAAAATAATACCTCTTTTGTGCCAGACCGTATCTACCCTGGAACTTTACCAAGAATACTTTACGGTAGAGTTCCCGTGTTATTTATTTGTTTTTTTTTGTTTATTTGTTCATCTCTTTTTCGAAAGTAGTCATTTTTGAGATCATATTTTTTCGTTTTGAGTATGATCGTAACGAATCGGTCTATGGCAATCCGATTTTCTTCATACAGCATCATCTTCGTTGTGATATCTTCAACGTTTATTTCACCGACTATTGTTTCAAGTGGTGTTCTTTCGGTGTTCCAACTATTGCTTTCGAAGATGGTGTGTTCAGTGTTGTATTCGTATGCATTTCGGATAATTTGCTTTGTCAATGCGGAAAAGGTATAAGATTCAACTTCATACTTATGAACATTCCAAACTCACTTCACTTTAAAAGTAAGACAAATAAACAAAGTGTTTCCGTCTACAGGTTCTCTCCAATACTACTTAGACCGAGGAACCAGAAAACCTTTCTGGGCAATTAAGTATAGTTGAACTTAAAAATGAATTTGCAAAAAAATTAGTAACTAAAGTACGATATAGACCATTTTGTCATGAAAGTGTTTTAATTTCGCTATTTTTTATAAAGATTTTATAATATTTTTGATTTATGATTAAAAAACACGAGTTTTAACCAAGATCTAAACCAAAAATACTCAACGAAATTAAATTATATATATTTCTGATATAGTCTATTGGTATTTTATTATTTTATTAAAATGTGCGCTATTGTATTACCGATCAATAAATTTTGATTACAACCAAACATCTGATTTTTTTAGAAACAAAGTCAAAGGAATCTATTTAAGTACTTTATTTATTTTTAGTTCTTTTAATGGTTAAATTAATCTGTATATTAGCGATAATTATTATTAAATACATGCATACGATATCGAGGTTTTTTTTTTTTTTTGATATAATATATCTTTGCAACATTTATTATTAATAGATTTTAATCTCTAAGTGTATACACAAGCTTAATATTTTTTGGGTACTTTTTTCAGATCACATGACTGTTATGATTAAAACAACCTTAACAATTTTATAGGAGAATATTATAACAGTTTGGGGTATATACTCGTATACCAGAAATACTCTAGTTTCTGATTTGTATTTATTTTTTTTTTATATAGAAACTTAAGTGAATAAGTCATCGTAAAGGAATAAAACAATTTCAAAAGTATTTAATGTTTCTGTGATTGTTTCTTATTTATAAATATAGTAAGTACCTATCATGATATGCCATTCAAAATTATATTAAATGTGTTAATGACCCAATGGATAGTACAGAGTAGGAACAATTTATGACACTTAGAAAGCTAAGCTAGCTTAAAAGTTAGAAGAGGAGCAAAAAATCAAAGAGATAGTACTTTAACACCGCTTCAAACTTGACTTCTGGCAAACGTCGAAAGTTTTTAATAGAATAGACAGACAATAGGATATATTAGAAGGATATTGGTTCCAATAACTCGTTTGCTTTAATCATATTTGAGTAAAAAGCACATATAATACAATATAATTTTATTTTATAATACACTGAAGGTTTTATATAAACAAATTTTAATTTTGTGAATATTGCTTTATAACTGATACATAAGAATTTACAGGTCTCTAC